CAAATACCAGAAGTGGAGGTGATTGTGGCCACAGAGCGGGAGACTCGTGTTGCTGGCTGAGGTACAGCTCTCACTTCTTTTTCTGGGGGTTTTGTCACCTGCTGTGTCATCATGTATTGTGTTGTTGGCTTTCCATTAGGTTCTGAGTGTATCGTTGAGGTTGGAGTAATTGAGCGCTGTTGCTGAGGCTGATAATGCCCATTGAGTTCTGCACCAGGGTTATGGTAAGAGGTATGGTAATTTTCAATAATGTTGCCTGCAGACCTTGATGAAGGCATCATGTTCTGGTAGCCTGGACGGTAAGGCTGCTCAAGCTGGTCAACAGACTTGGCTGTCTTTGTATCTTTGTAGTAACTTTGCTGGTAAGGATCTCTGGACTTTGTGTTATTGTGATCCGTCTGGATGATGGGATCAGTTGAAGCAACTGTGTATGGAGTGACAGAGCGAGAGGGTGTTTCATCATGATTGTTGTTTGCCAGCTTGTTGAGATACTCTCTCACTTTGTAATCTTCTGATTCTTGCTGAGGGGTGAGGTTCTCCGTTGAATAATACTGAAGATCATCGAGGGCTTTGTTCCTCTGTCTGGAGAAGGAAACAACATGAGGTCAGCCACAATGCCTTGGACCTCCATCCTCAATCTGAGGTACATACTGGCATCACCTCGTTCTAATCAAAATGGCCATAGTTTTTCCCTAGTTTGCTTTTCAAAAAAATTAACATTTTCCTACACATCTATTGCACAGAAATTAGAAAGAAAGGAATTACAAAATGAACATGGAAGGTACTAATGAGAACAAAAGGGTAATTAACTGTAACTTCTAATTGTTAGTTGAAGTATTCTACACATTGGTGCTTGGTGTCATAGATCTACTAGGAGGTGGATGGGCCAGTTTTGCTAAATATTCCCGTAAATCATCATCACCATCATCATCATCATCATCATCATCATCATCATCATCACCATCATCACCATCATCATCACCATGACCGTAACTGCGGCCACCGAATCTAAGAGCCTCTGTGTCCCTTTTGAAATACACCAGGTCTGTGAGCGCCTTGTTTCTCTGTCTGGGGTAGGAGTGCAATTTTAGTATGTAGCATTTAATGAAACCAAACGCATTTTTTTAACTGCATTTAGTGTTTTAGAAAGCTGACTTAAATGAAAATATATTTGTCTTTTATTATCAGGAGGATATGCTGGTGTAAAACCAAGATGAAATTTAGCTTAATCAAATTATGAACAAGTAACATTACTGGTTAATACCTATATTCTTAAATCATCAACTTTGAAGTTTACAATAAATGACAGAAAAGAAGTGAAGTAACATGTAAGGCAAAAGTGTCAAAGATAAAGAACATGAAAAAATGTACCATAAGGAATGTAAACATGTAAATAATAATGTAGCTACAGTTGTGGTGTACCTGTCAACACTGATGATGATACCAAGAATGACAAGAATATTATATTTTAATCCGTTTAATGTTGAATGATGGAGCTGGGCCATTAACAAAATACATTATCTACTTTGCATGCACATGAATTTCATAATCATTACTTAACTCTGACCTTTACATAAAGCTGAACAAATTACAGATTTCCAGTAGACCTTTTGTTAGTCCCTTTAGTTACAAAAAAAGTCCAAGGTGTGTTGTGTTTATTGTGGAAAGAAGAAATGTGTAAATGTTCTGTAGAATTATATTTTGTGTCAGTAATCAATGCAAATAGACTATCTACAAAAAATTACTCTGGGTAATTATAAAAGCAGGAATTTATTTTGTTTAGCATAAAGTTATGCATTTACAAATTACTAGCATAATACTCAAGGAACTAAGTCCTTATTAGATTGAAGAACTCCCCACAAAATAATCTTCCAACATTCCTCAAGGCATCTGTATTCATTAGTACACTCAGACACAGTAATTCCTAATCACTTAACTAGAATGCATTTTGTCATTTGAACTAATAACAATGTATGGAGGAGCTATTGCATACTATAGTAGAATGCCCTCAGCAGTTAAATGAATTACCCTAATTATAATACACAATGAGAAACCATATTAGTAAAATGCCAATCCATGAAACTGTGTTGCAGACTATTCATACAAATAAATAAATGTATATACTGGAGAGTCTTAAGAAATGTTTAAATACATTTCGGACTGCAGTAATTAGCTTTAAATGTGACAAATTTCAAAGTATGGTCTGTTTTGAGTTACAGGTATGTCTATGAACTTCAGAAATAGTATGAATATTCAAATCCTGTTTTTTCTTGCCCTTTATCTTAGAAACAAAACAACTGTATGAATGACTTCTATTTACAAAATCTTAGTATGAATAAAGTAGGCAAATCTATGACAGCCTTGTATACAAAAGTTGTTATACTGTGAATCCGAAAAAGGAAAACAAGGGGATACAAAGTGGGAAAGTAAAGACAAGGTATTTCTTTCATGTTGTAAAGCCTGTAGGTTGACGGAACATGTAGAAGAATATTTTGGTGGTTAGAGAAGAACTGAGAGTAGAGGAAAGAGAAGTAATGCAATTTTGAAAAATGAGCCCAATAATTTTCAAAATTTATTTACAAAAGAATAATTGTCCTTTGTCTATAAATAGGTTCAAGTATTTTGCCATGCATATATATATACTTTTTCTGTAAAATATATAAACATATAATGCATAAAGAAAATAATCATAATAATAAGTATGAAATAAGTATACATTATGCAGTAAGTCACATCATGCTGTTACAAATAGGCAGACATGCTTAAATGATGCATGTCATCTGTTATGTTATACACATGTTACAAGCTTCCTTATGCTATAAACTTTGATACCCAAAATGTAAAAGTGCAACAGAGGGCACAGATCAAGAGTAATAAAAATAGTAATTAATTAAGGGTTTGACTGTTTCTCTACAGGCAACAACTACTTCAGCTTCCTTTATATTCTCTTTTGTCTAACTAACAGATGTCATGCTCTTTTCAAAAGCTCTTTGGACTTAACCTTTCAGTCCTTAACTGCAAAAGAATAAAACATGCCAGTAAATCATGCAAACCAAACTTTCAAACTCACCTCACTGTGCAATATTGAAATACCTGAAGTGTTATTTGTTGAAAGTAACTGGGATCAATTTGAGGATAGCTAATATAATCCTGACTTCAGAACAAAACAAAAAACATATTTCAGTTACTGAAACTGTTTAAAAAATGAGGAAACAAGCCATGTGTTCTACTCATCAATAAACTAGAATATACATGAAAAATGAGAAACATCTGATGACACTGTACACGAGCATGATCAAATAAAGATAACTCACCTTACATTAATCCTTACTCTGCGCAGGTAAAGAACCTCCTTCATTAACCAGTGCAAAGAACTTACCCAAGTTTCCAACAGCTTTAATATGTGCATTCCCAACAAAGATGGATTATTGGCCTTACCGTTCCACTTTACAAAGCATATTATAACAAAATGTAAAAGCAAGCTAAAATAACAGCTAAACTTTTTATCTTTAATCTTGAACCTAATATAATCATGTTCATTGAAAACTGAAACCTATGGAAATATTTAAGAGCCTTAAACAAAGGTAGCATGTACTCTTAACTCCTGTCCTTACAAAATCAAGTTAAGTATCTTATGTATCCAATTTTTTCTTCATCATAACTCAACAATTATTAAAAATATCACAATCAAAGCAAAGCTACTTTTGCAGCTAGGATATTGAGCTTACCTCTTGGCAGACTTCCACAGTCCACAACAGACAAAGAGAATCACCAGGAGGAAAACAGCTACAGCAGCAGCTCCATAAAATGCTGCAACTATTGGCTCAGTCATATGAATCCACGGCTGCAAAAAACAATTCAGATTTATAATTTGTTCTCTGGCTTTTAAGAATGATAACAAGGATAAATTAAGCGCTTCTATTCAATTTGAAAAAAAAACTATGGAAGTTTTGTCATAAATAATTCAATGAAATGTAGTTTAGAATATCCTAAACCTAAATAGGAGACATTTATTCTAATTATTCAAGTCTATAAGGAATGAAGTCATGCACATCCAATGCTGTTCTCAGATCAACTGCCAGAAAATACATTTATTATTGGTCATGTTAATTTGAACTTTCATCAATGAAATAAGCTATGATACATCTATATTAATGCCTTCAGCCTCACAACAGTAGTGCATGAATGTGACTATTTCAAAGCTTTTCTTTTAGATGGAACTTTAAATTAACAAAATATGTAAAAAACAATTTTAGGTTATTGGTCCAAGAACATCTTTGAACAATCATACCCTTAAATGTACTATGGTGCAGTGAGGAATAGAAAAATGATGCAAATGGCCTTAATCTTACTGGCATGTTAACAAGTAACTGAAAAATTGCATTTAAAAAATCGAGTCCTTACATTTATAGGTGGAGGGACAGTTGGCACCCATTCCCTCACCACCTGTGGCATATAGGTGGTCCAGAAGGTGTTGTAGGTCTGACGGTAGTTATAATGCATTGAAGTGTTAAAGGTGGTGTTGATGCTTAGGTACTTGAGATTCCCTTCTAACACTGGCTCCCAATTCACCTTGATGATTTGTACTTGAGTCTGAGTTGGGTTGCTGTGGAGGGAGAGCAAGGAGGGTGATTACAGGGCAACTGAAGATAGCTGAAACTGAGAGGGAAAATAGAAAAGGAAGAAGTAAAAGTGGAAAGAGGAGAAGGGTACAAATAAAGTAAAAATAAAAAGAAAGAGAGAGGAGAGGGAGGAGAAGAATAGCAGCTGCAATAGCAGAAGTGAAAAAATGGAAGAAAGGGGAAAACAAGGATATTTCCATCCATTTAGAAATCCATATAAAAATCCATTTCACTCACCCCCATTTGGCAAAGTTGACGAAAGTCTTCATCATGAACTCAGAAATGTTCCTGTCACCTTCACTCCAAAGGTTCCTGGCAACACGAATGCTCTCAGGGAAAAACTCTGGGTCCATGAAGGGAGCACCAAATACAAAGTAATACTCGATGTTGTTGGGAACCTGTGATAAATGATAATAATGAAGGATATTGTTGATGGAGATTACCATTACTATCATGGCCATCATAATTACTGCTCTCATTATTACTATGACAATAAATCTCTTACTATAATAATAATAATGATGCTACTGTCTATCATCATGATTAACCCTTCATTAAAAGGATAATGTAGTACTGTTACTATTCCATAAATCTTAAAAACAAAACCAGTGTTTCAACAACAGTAAGTTGACTTCTACATACCTCTCTCCAATAGTCCAGTTTAAGTGCGTCCACAGTGGTATTAAGTAATAGGTAGGAACACTCCTCTTCCCAGTGGAGTTCACGAGGACCTTCACCATTTGGTCGACGCCGGATTTGTAAAGAGCATCTGACAACAACTGTAAAGGAGAAAATATCTGTATTGTTTTTCTTGAAAATATTTGTACTATATAAATACCATGTAATTTTTTTATTCTGTAAATATATACATACACACTTACAGATAGAAAGATAGATAGATAGATAGAGATATAGATATATATAAAAATATACAAAATATACACCACTATTTCGAAGTATTTCAAGATAAAGAGCAAAATATCTAAAGAACAACATACATCAACATATTGTTCTCGAATATGGGTAGTGTTGTGGGGATCCGGGCCGTAGGTGTACATCCACTTAATGGCATCATAAGCACCTTCGGGATTGAGTGAGTAGTTGTAGTGTTTGACCCACTCTTTGACCCGCTCGTTGAAGAAGTCCTCTGTCACCTCATACCGTTCGCGGATGAGTCTGTTGTCGTCGACTGGCGGGAATAGAGAAGTCTTAATGTCTCTCTCTCTCTCTCTCTCTCTCTCTCTCTCTCTCTCTCTCTCTCTCTCTCTCTCTCTCTCTCTCTCTCACTTAATAATGTTAATATTGATAATGGGTAGTATAAGAATATTTCACTTTGCTTGCATTTCACTAAATTTGCACTGATATATAAAAGAAGGAAAAAATATGAGAACGGAATACTCACAAACCATTTTCGCTGCTTCGTTCCTATTAACACCCGTCAGATAATGGAGGTCAGAGTGGTGATGATTTTTCTCGTAGAGTTTTATGGGCAGTTCGGGCAGGATGTGCCAGTCCTCTTCCTTCCAGTCCTCGTACCAGTCGTCTCCCGGAACACGGAACTTGGAGTCGACCGTCGGGCCCCACGCGAACGTGCCGATGTCCGGCTGTTGGCGGAGGTCGAGTTAGCCGCTAGAAATATCGACTCGAGGGGGGACAGTTTACGACCCTTGCACACTGTTTGTAAGTACGGTGGGATATGAAGAATGAGAGGGAATAGATTCTTTCGCCTGTTTGGGGTTTCACTAAAAAACGTTTTCAACCAAACCTTTATTGGGGCTGAAGCTAGTTCTTCATAGCTGCGACGGTTGAGACACTGAAGTAGTTTATACGACGATTCTACTGTACAGCCAACCTCAAGACCATACACGCGAGAAGTATTCTGAACTCTGTAAATGTCATCAATTGCTGCCCAGTCCGCTAAGGGCGAGCCACTCTAGAAAAGAAGAAAACAATATTTCATAAGGTTTTATTCTAATATGCTAATTATGTTCATGAAGTTCGCGTGGTGAAACTCACGAAAAAAAAAATACCCTCATTCCATTGAATATTCTACATTTTAGCAAAACTGCTACGAAGATGCACTCCTTTTCTGATGAAGGCGGCCAAGCTCACGCGGCCAAGCTCACCTCCGCCAGCACCTGATGAACCCAGTCCTTGGTCTTGGGCAGGACGGCCAGAATCCCCGCCATGGCCCCTCCCGCCCCCGGGCCGAACACCGTGATCTTCTGCGGGTCTCCGTTGAAGAACCGGATGTTCCTGTAGACCCACTCCAGCGCCATGGCCATGTCCATCAGCCCGTAGTTCCCAGGGGAGTTTTCGTCTCCCGTGCTCAAGAAACCTGCAATTTCCAAAGGGGTATTCTGTGATTTTAATGAATTGCAAAACGCGTCGCGATGCCAACCAGCAATGCCAACAACACCTCACGCCATGAAGCCCAACCCACACTCACTGACCTAGCGCACCCAGTCTGTAGTTGAAGGTAACCACCACCACTTCCCCCCAGCCCGCCAGCATGTGTCCCGGGAACTGGTTGCTGGCGCCGTGCTCCAGGTCCCCGCCGTGGATGTAGAACATGACTGGGTACTGGTCAGTCACGCCGATGGATATCTGCACGAAAACGAACCAGATGTACTTTTTGCTTTCATTTGATTTTACAAGTGGCCAAAAATGTGTATCATCAGTACTAAAAGAATCACTGTATATGAATTGAGTAGGTTTCAATATCTCAAGGACAATAATTATTCAGACCTGCATACTAATATACCAAGACAAGTATTTTTACTAATTCTATAAAAAAAGAAAAAAACTTGCCGACGGCGTAAATATATTGAGGTACAGGCAGTCTTCGTGAATCCCGTTCCTGATGCCATTCGAAGAACCGATGTACTTCAAGTTCTGCGGGCAGGCTGGCCGGTAGTCGAGGGCCTGCCACGTGCTGAACCAGTGCTGAACATACCTTGGAGGCTGTGCAAAAGAGACAGTAAATTAATCAACATATCAATATATATTTTTAATCTACTTAAGTATCTCGAATGTTGTCCTGATAAGCAGGAAGAGGAAATACTGTTTATACTCTTTATCATACCATTAAACTTTTTCACATATTCCTTTACGAAGTGTTCTCTCCGCGTCTTCCCTCTCGCCCGCGCGCCTCGGCCCTTTCTTTCGCGCCAAATCTAACCTTGGACTTCAACGCAGCCGTAAATAATTATCTAAAGCGCTTTTCACTCATCTTGCTTATTTTTCACAGTGTCTTTCCATGTGTCTAATACTTCTACTGCTGTCAGATTTTTTTTTCTCAAAGATTGTATATTATGACTATTAGTACTGATAGCTTACTAATTATATGATAATGGATTAGAAAAATATTTAGAATTAGAATAACAAAGTATATATCACTGATTATAATAATAATAATGAATGATAATGATGATGATGAATGATGATGATGATGATGATGATGATGATATTAATTATCAATGATAATAATAGAAATAATAATAATAATAATAATAATAATAATAATAATAATAATAACAATAATAATGATAATAATATAATATCATTAACAATAATAAAAACAGTAATAATGGTAATAATAAATAATAAAACCAATGACCATTATAGTATTATTATTGATAATAGTAATAATAATAATAATAATAATAATAATAATAATAACAATAATGACAATAATAATAATAATAGTGTTATTATCATTAATAATAATAACAATAGTATTAATAATAATAATAATAAGAAGAAGAAGAAGAAAGAAGAAAATTGATAATAATAATAATAATAAAAGCAATGATGATAATAATATGAAGACGAATGATAATGATAATAATAATTATAATAATAATTATAATAACAATAACCATAATAATAATAATAATAAGAAGAAGTAATAATAATAATAATAATAATAATAATAATAATAATAATAATAATAATAATAAATAAATATGATAATAATAATAATAATAATATAATAATAATAATAATAATAATAATAATGATAATGGTAATAATAAAAATGATAATGATGAAAATAGTAATAATAATAACAATAATAATAAATACAACAGCAACAACGACAGTACTGCTATGATCAGTAGCAATAATAATAACTATAATAATATTAATAACAATAATAATAATAATAATAATAATAATAATAATAATAATAATAATAATAATAATAATAATAATCATAATAATGATAATAATAGTAATGACAAAAAATAAAATAATAATAATAATAATAATAATAATAATAATAATAATAATAATGATAATATTAATAACAATAATAATAATAATGATATATCGTAAATAATAATAATATGACTAAGAATTGTTAAGAAATATCAACCGGCTTATCAGCATCATATCATGTTAACATCAACGCCAATGACGAAATCATCCTCGTGCTCATTATCATATAAACCGTCAGTACTAACGAATAAACGCATGAAAAGGAGATTGTAGATCAAGACAACAAAACACCAGCACGTAATACTCTCTCCCTTTCACAAATACGCTCCGTGGGTTTCCATTCATCTTTCCTCGCCCTCCTTCTTGTCATGTCACGGCAGTGTGAACAGCAACGTGTCCGTGACAACCAAGCAAACGTTTGTGTTTAGACAGGAATAACAACTTTTGGAAGTGAAAGCATGGGCCGCGATCGCATTTACAGTGTTGCCACGTGTACGGGTACTTTAGCGCACGGTTCTCTTGTCTCTCGCTTTGTCTTGTCTTTTCCCTTTAATTCTAAGTTGTGAGGATGTACTCGCTGTTTAAGGCGTACGTAAATTATGTAAAGTATGATCTGATATTTGTTTAGGCCTTCTTGTTTGCTTTCTGGAACAAAAACGGTCGTAAATTGGGCCGAAATATTCCCCAAGGTCAGAGGCTCGCTGACGCTTTAGATCTAGGGACGCTCGTCTGTGGGCCCATCTTGATACTAGCTACGTTACAGGGTTTACCAGTGTTATTTTCCTAATATTATTAATCTTAAATAATATGCTTTCTACTATAATCTTGAGTTAGACGACGGAAAAAATGACCCAATGATATACCCCGTTTGTGATGTAATAGACCATCGAGCAGAGGCGTGCATTGATGCAGGAAGGTAGAAGCTGTGCATAGATTCTCAGACGCTGCCTCGCCTCACCCACACGGACGCCACAGTGAACTCTGTATCTCATGCCCTCTCCCCCTGCCCCCTCTCCCTGGTTTCCTCCCCCGCTCTCACCTCACGCCCTACGCCCTTCAGCTCCCCTTATTTTCCTGGTGTCATCTTCACCTCCTGAATAAAGTCTTTTAAGCTTTAAATCCCTTTATTTCCCTTGGGCACTTCTTACCAAACGCGGAAAACGAAGGGCGGTTCCTGTCCACTGTGTCTGCGATTTTAAGGTCAAGCGGACTCTACGCATTTGCTGCATCGCCTGAGAAAGAAGTGTCTTTGGTAAACGCATAATCTTTACGACATCTAGATGCAAGAGTCAATAAATAGACAAAGTTTCCCTTTAGAGCTAAAAGAAAATGTCGCCTGCTAACAAAGAAACACTAACATGCACGGCACGTACTAAACCCTTTTGCCGCACTTAACAATGAGCGGAACGGCATGGTGTCCATGTTGATGTTCAAGAATAAAGAGAAAACAAGAAGACAAAGGAATTTCCTGGTGTGACCAAAGCTTCTTTATGAGTCATTGGTTCTCTGGATCAGCCGCTGCCCAGGAGTGCCTCATGACGTCATTCTAGGAACTTTATCAGGCTGACGGTTCTGTATAACCTATGAGTCAATCGCACCAGGGTATTCATAATCACACTAAAGATCAGATATTTAGAGTTTGTTTATCTTAAGATGAAGTTTGAAGGCTATTGTGGCAGTGGTGAAAGTGTGACGAAATGAAAAGTTAGAAAGTGTGTTTGTTCTCTTTTTAATTCTCGGCTGTGACTGGCAGATGATCAACATTTCTGAAAGACAGAAGTCAAATTGGCTTATAAATGCGGCTTGCTGACCCGATATCGAAGAACCAACGGGATCCTAGAACGTGAAATGCCTGATAATTGTTAATGATAATAATGAGGACCTTCAGAATCACGGTCATGATAATGATATACTACATGGTTACACGTACCACTGACACATCTGCAACAACACTAATAATAATATTAATAATAATAATAATAATGATTATTATTTTTTTTTTACTATCATTATTATAACTAATGATAGTAATGATGAAAATGACAGTAATATAATATTAATGGTTTCTGCTAAATCATTACAATAAGAAAAGTTATCAGTGTTAACATTATACACCAGAGAATTCAATTACCTTTACTTTTATCAATATGATAATCATAATTGCATTTACGGTTATCATTTGATCAATATGATTACGGTTTATTCTTTTCATTCTAATTATAACTATCATCAAAACTCTTATTCTGTTCTTATTACCGTTAGCAATAACAATTTATAGAGATAGATAGATGGATAGAAAGATTATTTTCCATGTTATCATTCTTGTTATTATCACCTTCACATCTTTATCATAAAAATCACATTGATTACAGTAATTATAGCAATCGTGTTTATACTAATAATCATTCATTATAATAATTATGGCAATAATATTTATTTTAACAGTCATAGTAGGCCTACTCATCGTCATAATCATTATTCCCATTTCATCATCAGTGTTATCATCTCATCGTCACCACACTTACTTCGTTATCATCACCACTATCATTATCATTATGGTTGTAATTAGTATCGCTATTATTGTACCTGTGTAACTGTCATTTGCATCAACATTACTATCCTTAGCAGGAACAATATCTAATTTGCGTGTTATATATACAAAGAAAAAAGAAAGACTAATTGACCCAGTCACTGAACACGTGTTGTAAATTTGCTCTAAATATTTATTCGTGAATAAAACAATGAATCTAACAACTTTATTCTATACAAAATTATAATGGTAATAATGATAGAAATGTTGTAATGATCATGATGATTGTGATGATGATGATGATGATGATGATGATGATGATGATGATGATGATGATGATGATGATGACGAGGACGAGGACAATGATGAAATGATGGCGATGATGATGATATTGACGATGACGATGACGATGATGACGACAACGACGACAATGATAACGACGACGGCGATAGCGATGGCGATGATGAAAATAACAAAACAAAAGTAAAGACGAAAAATAAACCTCAGCTGGGAATCCGTCGAAAGAAAACCGAGACGAAGGCTTAATCCGGCTCAAATCGAACCACTTTCCTCTTCATCATGCAGACCGCAGGCTTTTCGAAAAAAAACGACACCTTAGCAATACTTTTTGTTGGAATAATGCAAAATCAGCAGCAGATTTTGTGGCGCGAACATCGATCTTGGGCAGACATTTTGCTTTTTTTGGCTTTGTCATTGATTTCATATCCGTTGGCACAAAAAAGGGAAGCTCGCCTCGTAAATTATGACAATTTCCGTCGATTCTGTGTGGATAACACTTTTTACGGTGAGTGTCATATAGTTTGTGGTTAAACATTGAATATCTACAGCTGCATCTCTTTTTTTCTTTCTTTATATCTCTCTCTTTCGTTTTCTTTTTCTTTTTTCTTTTTCTTTTTCTTTTTCGTTTTTTTCTTTCTCTCACTCTCTCTCTCTCTTTCTTTCTCTCTTTCTCTCTCTTTCCTTCTTTCTCTTTCTCTTTCTCTTTCTCTTTCTCTTTCTCTCTCTCTCTCTCTTTCTCTCTTTCTTTCTTTTTCTTTCTCTCTCTCTCTCTCTCTCTCTCTTCTCTCTCTCTCTCTCTCTCTTCTCTCTCTCTCTCTCTCTCTCTCTCTCTCTCTCTCTCTCTCTCTCTCTCTCTCTCCCTCCTTCCCTCTCAAAACGCCATCAGTAGAACTGACGCTACTAGAACTAAAGG